ATAAGATAAAATGAAGTAAAGGAAAAAAATTAAACAAAAAACCAAATTAAAAAAAATTAAAATAAATAAAGTTAAGTCAAATGGAATAAAATAAAATAAAATAATATTTAAAAATTTCATTGAGCTTTATTTATGCCGTTTTTAATGAAAAACGTTGTGGAAAAATAACAACAATTTATACATGTTGAAGACACCACATCTCCCCTTTAAACTTCTTCATCGAGTTCAAACAAAAGCAATAGGATTAAATTAAATTAAATTGATTAATATGAAATAACATAAAATAAAATAAAACAAAGTGAAATGAAATGAGATTACATTAAGTAAAATAATTTATAAGAAAAAAATTTGTATTAATAAATATAATACTACCAATAAGCAGATTTCTTTACTGTTCCTTTTAACTGCCACACAAACAATCCAAGTAAATATTTTTTTTACGTAATCAGCAGCTTTTAAACGTTCTTGGCAAAATTCGTGCACATATTTATAGAATCACATTTGTATGTAAATGAACAGATGGACAATATAAATTCAATAACCGACATGCGTCAGTTCATAAAGAACAATTAAACGCATGAGCGGTCTAGAATAACCTGAATATTTTAAATAAAAAATGTGTAACATCCCTGCAAAAAATTGTGCGACTAATCTCTAAAGAGAGTATTCCAAGATTATTCTTAATCGGGTACAATTGGGCATTATTTAGTCGCAACTAGGCTCATACGGGTACTAATGGAGGTCAATTAGTCTCGACTCATCCCTTATGGGTATAATTGGAGATCAATTAGTCCCCAACTCATCTCTAACGGGTACTATTAACGATTTAATGATATGTACACACTTAGTCAATGAAATTCCATGTGCGGCGTTGGCACACAGAGAGAGTATTCGCCTAACAAAACTGAGCACCCCGGTTCGAATATCAGCTGGCGCAAATTTTTATTTTTATTTTTTAAAGTGACTAGTCGCTTTTTGTACCCATTCGGGTATAAAGGTGAACAATTAGTCTCTTCATAGGACATGCTCGAACAAAAGCGAACAGTTCATTCCATATAAAGAGATCAAAAGTGGTATTAGTCGCATGCTCCTTTGCGATTGCTGCCGGAGTCATCCCGGAATAGTCCCATTTTTTGCAGGGATATGCCTACATATCTATGTACCTAAATGTGTATGTGTATATAGTACATACATGTCTGTATACATATACCTATGTACATAGACACAAGTACAAACATTACATTCACTTTCAATCGAAATTGTGCTAATCAGCCAGTTGCTAGCAGCCAGCAGCCAGCAGCACCGCTAAGGTGCTAGTTTCCCAAATGTCTAGAAGTGTATGAAAGTAATTCCATATATGATTGCTTATGAATTCAAAAATGATGCTAATGCCGTTGAGTGCGACATATCTATAAAATTTAATTTGAAGAAAAAAATAATAATTGTTATGGCAAAGTTTGCATGCAAATATGCTAGATATTGTGCGAGTGCAAATAAAAATTATACACGTAGCATATGCATAAGTATGTAGACGTATGTATATATGTATTTGTTAGAATCTTGGCTATATGCTCGTTAAATTCTATGAGAATTTGTATGCATTTCGCATAGAATTTACACTTTTAGTGTCGCCACCGTCAGCGCCTCCAAAGCGGATGGGTGGTGTCGTCGTCGGCGAGTCGGTTGCTATTTATGTATGTATGAAAGCATGTGGCTTGCAAGGAATTACTTTCTGAAGCCATACCCATAGTGAATTCCTTTTATTTTCATAGCAATCATTCGGTTGCGGTCTTATTTCTCTTCTTTGTAAATACCTCAGAACAATTTCAGCAGTAAATATGTATGTATGTAGATAAGAAGTCTTCTTAGCCGCAGTTTATAATCCTAATGTACGGCTCTGGAAAATAAATGTACCAAACGTTTTTCTTTTTTAAAGTACCCATTTCCAGTAGGGTATGAATAAGTATGTGGGTCTTAGTAGAATTGTAAACGCTTCCAGGATGCAATACAAAGATTCATGCCTTCGTTTTTATAAAAAATTAAAAAAAAAAACTGTATAAAATTTAGTAGTCTTTTCATCTAATTTGCTTAAGATTTTGGTGCGCTATCCCGCTTCCTACCGACCTTAAAATTGATGTTAATTAGTCTCGCTTAAAACTCGGTTCGCGCATATATATTTCGTGCGGCCAATTCGATCCTCACCTACTTACATACCTACATATGTATCTATACCTCAGGCGTATGCGTTTGCCTATATATGTATGTACTCGTAGCTAAGCGTGCGAACGTTACTCAAAACGCATGCGTGACTGAAATGAAGCGTATATAATGCCAATAAACTTTTGGTATGTTTTTTTTTTTTTTTAATTTACGTTTTATTGGAATTTTCTATTGAAAAGCAAATATGTATTGCAAAACTATTGTTATTTATATTTGTATGCCGGTCAAATCGTTTGTTACATTTTAAGGCTATAAACGCAATAGATTAACACATTTTTTGTGAATGCAAATATACACAGCAACTTATGTATGCATGTTCAAATAGTAGATGTACTCAAGTATGTATGAGTGTGCATATGTATTAACAGATGTATGTAAATTCATAAGTGCGCCTGGTTATTAATTTTTAGCATTTCGTCGGTGGCTCTCAAATGAAGGTGCGTAAAAATAACGACTGTACAATACATGTATGTATGTATGACTGTATATGTACATATGCTCGTACAAAATTACCAGCCGCTGTTCGCTTGCCAAGCAACCTACATATATACCTACTAGTAAGCATTCGATTTATTTGTATCGCTTTTTTATACGTAACCCAAACTAAATGTTGTAAATCTTAGCCAAAGTTGTTGGTGAATTATTTCAAAATATATATTACTAGCCCGCTGTTTTGATTTGTAACCGCTGTTTTTTGTAATAGTAACTTAATTTAAGAGTGTAAGAGCCTTCAAGCGTTGTATGGTGCGCACGGTGTTAAAGACATTTTAAAGGTCTGATCAAATTAAAAATTATCTTGACCTTAAAACCGACATTAAAAAGTGCAATTTTTTATTTTTTTATTTTTTTTTTTACCTAAAATGCATGCATTTTCACAAAAAATTTTAAATATATATTTTTCGTTTCTTGCGCCAAGGACTCTACTTACATGGCAAAAATATGTTTAACACTTTTTAAAAGTTCATTGCATATTGTTTTCAGGTCAAAAAATAAGAAAAATGCAATACTTCTATTTTTGAAGGTAAATTTAAGAGTCAAGGTAATATTTTTATCAAACGATATTATTTTTTCTGAATTCTCCATCTCAAATGCTTTAAAAATTCTGTTCTCGATATATGAAATTTTGTCACACAAAAATTTGTATTTTTCACACTGTGGGGCGTATACGTAACATTTCAGTACTTTCAATTACTATTCAATTTTTCTGCGCTATTTTGTAGATATGTATTTACATAAGCGGTGAATTCATAGTTTAAAAGCGTTTAGCTAATGCTTTAGCTCGCAAAGTTTGTTAGTAAAAATTTTATGAATATTGCTTAGAGTGGCGCATTTCACACATATTTAGTATGTAGAAATGCTGTGACTGAAAATCAGAAATCTCTAATTATCTTTGCCTATTGGAGCAGAAATATGGATAATATCAGTTGTGCACGGTAATTAAGTAGGGAAACGTTTAAATAGGGCAATAAAGTAAGCTGACTTTTCAGCAACACTTCTTTGATTCCGGCCAAAAATTAACGACCAACTTTGAATAGATCAGTGGCACATGTTCATAAGAATAGAGAGTAAAAGGAGCAATAACTACGGTGATCATAATTATGTCAGCCGAGTACGGGACAAAAATCTTAATTAACGGTTTTTTTTTTAGAAAAGCAAATAAAATCTGTGAAAATTTGACAAAACAACTTTCATTTCTTCAAGATCCAATGATCGGATCTAAACCAAATTAGTATGGGACAACCTCGAAGGAACCACCTTTTTATTAAGAAAAACGTATAGCAATCGGTTAACGTGGTCCAAAGTTATGCGGTAACATACATAAAAAAAAAATTATTCCGACGAATTGACAACCTCCTCCTTTTTTTGAAGTCGATTAAAAATAACATACAATTATTGAAGCTAATTACAACCGAAAAAGTATCGGAATCCTAAAGTGTCATAACGAGTCATATTGTCATACTTAATGGCATAAATGTTAGGGTAAATAATTTTAGAGTAATTTCGAGTCATTGCAATTGTGATTCTATGGCAGTAAATATGACGGTTTTGAATCGCCTTAATAAAATTTTGCCTAAATTTTTTTTTTATTTAAACCTATTAACTTTTTAAATTTTAAGAGAAAACCAACATATTACACGGGTTTTTCCTTTTCATATATAACTCATAAAAACAAATGCCTATCATCTACGAATTAATTAAAATAAACTAGCAAAAGCCATCTACACAATTAAAGACTCATTATGCGGGTTTTCCAAAGAAATAAATGAATTCAATTTAAACAATGTTGCATGTAAATCAAGTCGTAGATCAATAAACTCATAACAAATAATTCAGCGCAAAAAAAAGGTTATTCTTATGAATAAATAATTTGTTTACAATAGTTACAAGTTAACTAATTTATACTTTTATTATTGCACTGAAAACAAATATTATTTAATTTTTCATATGCATACGGCCCAATGATTTATATTCCATTACACGATACCTGTGATGTCAATTAAATAACAGTAACTCGAATTCGGTTGTATCCTACATATGTATAATATGCAATGCATATATGTACAAATACGCGTGTTCAAATATTGTGACGCCTTTTCACGTTACTTAATTATTTAGAATGCTAATAAATAGTTAGCGTGCAATTATTACATACCATTTCAGAAAGTAACAAGCAACCACTTCTTAAAAATTAAAAAGTTTTTTGTAAACAAATGTCCTCATTAACTCGCCTTAAGCAGCATATTTAATTCTCAAGACTATCATTCCCTATCTCCTTACAGGGTCTCGAACATTTGATGTACAATCTTGGCTTGGGACAAATCGAATTTGAACCTGAACATACGATTGACCAACATCGTCCCAAGGGTTTTAAAACATCGGAGCGGGATGATGATCCAAAGTTGACAGCTTACTTTGAACAGCAAAGTTTGAAATTATCGCCGGCCGATGAAGATATTGCAATGTTAAAGGAACGTGATGCGCTGCAGAAGAATACAGATGAATTAGGCCTTCTAATTAGAGAGAAGGAAGTTCTGTTGGAATTCAAGGAGATGCACGATCCAAAGCACCGGCATCCGCGGGAAAGTGGTAAGGAGACAAAGTTCTAAACAAAATTATTCATTTTTACGTAGAATATAACAAAATCAGTTACTATTAGCAAGTAATATGCTTAGGGGTTTACTATATACATATGCAATGAACTCAAACGAGCTTTTAATTCCATCACATTAAGGACCGTAGGGTCGGTAAGATCGCAATTACTGAGATCTACACAGGACGAAAAAAATTTTAGTTCCAAAAGAATAGATGCCGCTGAAGTCAATATATTTGTAAAATTAAGCTTTATGGTCCGATTTGGTTATTCATTTCAAACATAGACAAGTCCTTCGGCACTTGGTCATTCCATTGTGTTCGTGGGCGGCCTTTCTTTCGTTGTCAACCCAACTTGCCAAATTTAGGGATCTTTTTAACGTAGGATCATCATCGATGCATCGGACATGCCCAAATCATTTTCGTCGGTATCTGTACTCCACGCGAATACCACAATTGACCTTGCGTACCTCTGCACTACGTAACAGCATGGACACGATTAGTTGGAATGAAATGGAAAGGAAACGTGGGTGGCCGGAACTGCCAAAACCAACTTTTCCAAGCACTCGGGCAGTATTGCCAGTTGTACTTAAGAGGAAGAGACAGGATTTAGAGGAAAGGGATATATAGGTGGTGTGGGAATTCATTGCTCCTCTACAAACTTACCTGACTCCTTTATGAATCTTAGCAGTTTGTTGAGGGAAATAGAATGTATCTCATCCATTCTCAATACATCCGATCCAAAAACAAACCATCTAAGCCTGGCGAAGGCTGGACAACAACCGGTAAAATGTTCTGTACTATCCTCATCCAAGCAAGATGTACGCAGTGAATCCTCCATGATGCCTATCGTGACCATATGTCATTCCTATGGATTGTGACCCGTAATCAGTCCTCCCAGGGCTCGTAGATCACGTTTTCTTTGCCTGAGAAGGAATTTTACTACCACACTGTAAGGACTTTTCAGGTGTCAATACCACACCAACGGCACTCATGAGTTTTCTTATGAGATCTTTGATGTACCCGATCGTTCCCACTATGCTTGTCCCTAAAATTGGCTCCATAGAACTGCAGGTCGCCAATTCATTTTCCAGTTCGTTGCCATGAATACCAAATTGTCTTAGCACCCGCACAAATTTAAACTCATTCCACCTTGTAACGGATTTTAGCCTCAACTTACATTCATGGACTATCTTTGAAGAGGTGCAAGCGGTTTCCAAGGCCTTTAGAGCAGCTTGGCTCTCACTGCAGATCTTGATTTTATGTACGTGTCACCTTTCACCAATTATCCAATCTACCATTTTCAGTATTTCACAGACTTCCAATAGAAGTCTGAAGTTACCATCCGGAGGCCATCCAGCTCCAGTACCATTTTCAGTCTTTGAGATTTCACCAAGAGCGTCTGGATCGTTCCATTGCTCGCTAATAGGAAATCTAACGACATACTTTCTTCCAAAGGAGACTCCAGGTATCAGTTTGTCAGTAGGTGCCAAAATCAAGGGGTACTGACAACCCTCTAAACAACTCTCTGTGCCCGTAACTCTGATCGTCGCGCGACAATCAAGAGCAGAGGTGGGCACTACCACAAACAAGCGTGAGCTAAAAGTGAGCATGTGTTAGTGTACCTAATTCATTTTGCATGCTGTCGTGTTCTCATCGATGCGCTCTCGCTTGTATACGTACAGGCAACGCTTACGCTCTTTTAGCACCTGCTAACTCTCTGCCCATGCCTGATCAAGAGTAAAGTCGACGCGATTAGTTAAATGTAGAGTGTGATTTTCGTTCATGGCGGGAGAGCCCTGTTGGTCTGGTCAAAAAGAGCGATACCAGTTCTGAAGCCACACTCTTAAGGGCCCATCTGTTGGTTCTTAAAGGGGATCACTATTTTAGACTACATCATCGATACGCAATATCTATAAGGCTCATTCCGTGATCGAATTTTCCTTTTTTTGGATGGAGCAAAGTACAATGACGCTACAATGTTCAGGTGCCAGATGGCGGGAGGCGAAATAGGTGAAAAATGCGTATTTTCGGGTACATTTTTTTCGGTTTCCATAAAGTTTTCTATACGGCCGCTGAATACGAGTCTTTGGAGGTGCATACCATCGCTCGACAGATGCCATTATGGGCCAAGATTATGCTTATTTCTAAAGCAGAAAACAATTCAAGGGGCCAATAGATATATAAACACATACATATCTCTTGTCTGTGGCCTATAACTCTGTTTGTTGATTTTTACTATTACTTTAATTGTTCATTCATTCATCATCCCTTTAAATTGCTCAAAGAATGCTGCTTATATCCTAATGAACTTCATTATTTATGGATCAATGTTTTAAAATAATATTCTTGAAAATAAGAAACTCTGAGCTCCACAATTAGGTAAGCAACCTTTATGCAAATAACCTTGAAAATTACACACTCTCATTGGTCAATTCAGCATATTATAGATAATCAGTTTGACCTCCACTTTGGCGGCAAAAATTAAATAATAATAAGTTGCACTTTCAACAAAGTAAACTCTCACTAAGCGAACAATTTAAATGTCAATTTAGTGACGTTTCTTTCATTCATTGTCCCTTAGACCCATCTACTATTTATATTAGGCGAACCATTTACAAACTTGCATGCCACTGTGTGAGAATACCGAGCCATTTTTGTATAGACATCTACTTATTGAACTCTTAATTTATCTAATTTGCATAATAAGTAGTATGTATGTGTGTCCATAATTTGATGTCAATGTGACTTTTACTTTTCAATAAGAATAAACGAAAGTTAACTTTACTCAAATATGTAGCTATGTCTTCAATCAATAGTAAATATGTCACCTAAAATTAGGTTTAATTGTCAAGTACAGTTCGACAAATGTACGATGGTTCGAGAGTTTGATGAAAATTATGTCGAAATTTATATACGTACATACATTTACTTCATTATATCCTCAGCGAGAAAATCATTTGATACTCATAATTGCATTGCGGCGTACTTGCTTAATTACAATACTTCAATAGACTTTAAAGAGACACGCGCGTTCACAAATAAGTATATTTGAGTGCCTAAATATAAGTAACTTTGTAGTATACAATGGAAAGATTGACACACAAGCATGCGCTAATATGGGTACATTTAACAATAGCAAATAATTGGACTTCATAACACAATTATAATTCGAATGATAATAGATTTTTCGCGACATATTTCGTAGTATTAGTTTATATAAGCACAAAAATAAAACTGTTTCAATGTCATTGTGAATTTTAATGGCAGCTCTAGCAAGATATTCCCATAAGATGTAAGCTACAATGATAATTTAAACAGTGCTTGAATAAATTTGCATCGCTTAACCCTTATGTACTAGGTACCAGGTAGCTAAAGTAGATGTTGAAATGTATTAGAATAAAACCAGCTCTCTATCAAATAAATCGTATTTTTTTTTTTTTTCAAAGTCCCACTACTGCCACTAAGTAGGGAATTAAGCATCGTTTAAATGTTCGCCATGGCTTCTTATGATAGCGCTTATCCGAGTGGTACAATTTTCAATCTGTCTGCCGCATAGATCTGGCTGAATTTAGTACACCGGTCATTTGCGACTTACTGGCAGAGGCCTGCGACTTTGGAATACCCCACATGAACAAGCCAAGCGAGTTAAAATCGCACGGTCTGCGCGAAGTAATCATACCCTCAAATCGTTAAGGCGGAATGTGCCTGGTGATACTACTACGTAGCACACAACAATAACGGTTATGCTACAGCGGAGAACGCTATCTCGGAAAGCTTTTTGAGGCTAATTAAATACTGTGATCCTTGCAAAAGCTGGATGTCTTAAGAGAATACTACATTCAGTGATCGCGAAGCCTAAGTTTTAATTTCCGTTAAGCTTCCACCCATCCAGGTAAGATTTCCTGACACACCTCGCCCGCTCACTTCTTGAGAGAATATGAGAGGAGAAAGATCATTGATACCAGTTTAACCATGCAGTGTTCCGTGTTATCAGGGATGAAGTTGAAATCTTTAAGTATACTAAAGCGCCCAAATCACGAGTCAGCTATGTGGGCTCCCAGTGCCTGTAAGTCTGCTTGTAGTCCTTGCTGCAGCGATTTCGGCGGACACTACATCAAGTAGGATGGTCCTAGAAACCTATAGTCAGATAACTACTTCTGGCACTGACATGCAAAGGCAATTTACAGGAAAGGTGAAAAAACGATATTCAGTATGAAGATCGTTTTCGCACGAACTTATACTTGTTTACATGTTTTGTTTTGGCTTTGTTAATTTAGACGCCTGTCAGTCTGCCGTCGTATGAATGCGGCTTTATACATGTACCGTAATTTTTTGGGTCTACCATGGCGACTTTATCGCCATATTACTGAAGTACTCACGATTTGTGTATAAGTTTCAGTTTCGATATGAATAAAACATTTTTTACAGCCATAACCTAAAAATAAAAAAAAACCAATTCGCTTGTTATAAATTTACAAAAAAGTACTTTTAAAATTTCAGTCAATAAACTCACTCAAGGGCTTGCATTTCATCAAACTTGCAAAAGGTTAACGCTAAGGATATATAAATCTGAGTAAATCGGGTAAAGTCAGCTGCTGCTATTCACTGTTTTAACAACAATCAGTTCACTACTTTTTTGTTTTATCAACTTTTTCTTGCATTGTTATACTTTTATGCGATTTGATTGTTTTTTTTTTATGTATCCACATTGTTTATTTAGTTTTGTTTTTATTTACCTTTATGCACATTCTTTTGTGCCACAAATTTCCATTGCGACTACTCGTACGCAGGCAGTGAGTGTCTCAATGCACTGTCAAGTTGTGGCTCTTCCGTATGCAGTACACGTCGTATGAGCAACTGTATTCGTGCGCACTTGCATGTAAATATGTTTGTGCGCGTATATTTAGGTCTCGCTTTTTTCGCTTTTTTTTGTTGCATGCATGTCTGGTTGACTTATTTACACTGCTTTTCCCAATGCCCTGTGGGAAATCGCT